TGAGAGCACAGTGACATGATTAAGTGCGTCATATCAAGCTCTCGTTCATGGAACATTCAGTAGGGAAACCGTGTTTGTAATCCCAACAGCACAGGACAGCAAAACTTTACTTCCTAGTACATGGTTTCTCTGGAGCCCAAAAGACAGGGTTGTTATTTCAAGTTTGCTTATTTAGGTGGCAGTAGCTTCCACTAAGATGCTGTCACCTCTGAACAAGGACACATTTATTCCAACATCAAATCTGCCCATCACAAACTGAGTCTAACGATAGCTTTCACTGATGGGCATCTGTAACCTTTGGCCTTTTTCACATCGTGCAGGCTGAAAGCTCCAGCAACTATACCTCCTAACATTAAGAGGTTAAGAGTTCCAATTAACCAGTCTTGTGTCCATTTAAAAGCCTATCATTTTGATGCATTCATTTTCCTTCCTGTAATTTCTCTAAAGAGAAAAGTAAAAGGAAATGATTTGACTCACAAATATTTTCTTCATCCCTATGAATCATTTATTTTGTAACTGGAAGTTTATGCCTCTTAATCTCCCACACCCATCCACAAACACTTATGGATTATGGGGACATAATGTTATATATAATAGCTTCATTCTTACCAAGCACAGAAGTAGGGATTTTAGACCCTGTCCATGCTAAGTCTCTTTTTTGCTGCTTTGTATTTCTAGATGACGAAGAATGGCACCGTGGAGTCTGAAGAAGCTAGCACTCTTACAGTGGATGACATTTCTGATGATGATATTGATTTAGACAACACCGAGGTAGACGAGTACTTCTTTCTCCAACCCCTGCCAACAAAAAAACGGAGAGCACTGCTACGGGCCTCTGGGGTGAAAAAGATTGATGTGGAGGAAAAGCATGAGCTACGAGCCATCCGCCTATCTCGAGAGGACTGTGGCTGTGACTGCCGGGTGTTCTGTGATCCAGAAACGTGTACCTGCAGCCTGGCAGGCATTAAGTGTCAGGTAAGGATTGGGATTTCAAGGAATCCGAAGACATGACATTATACACCAACCCCTAAAGAGGCAGTTGTGTTCCATGTAATGAAGTTTCCCACACGTGGAAGAAAATTCTGGGGTACGGCAAGACACATGAGTCAAGAAGAGAGAAATACTAATTCAATGACATTTAGGGGTATATGTAATATTCATATATATATATATATATATATATATATATATATATATATATATGGTACAGTGTGAAAGGCAATCCAAGCTGCAGTTGTCAGTTGAAATTGTTTGCTCTTGGATTCATTTATTACGCAAGCTTATTTTGGCTTCTTACAAGCATTCAGGGAGATCCTGACATCCCTAACATTTAAAGTTTGTATTCTCTGATCCATCCATGGGGTATAAAATGATGATTGGTTAGAGGTAGTGTAGATTAGTGGAAAAATTACTAGACTGGGACTTAAGAAAACTGAGTTTTCCTCCTGGCTCTGCTTTTTGCCACGATGTGAAATTGGCAAGTCAGGTAAACTTACTGGGTTCAGTTTTCCCACCTCTAAAATGAATGGGCTGGGCTAGATCAGGGGATGGGAAACGATAACTCACAGGTCAAATCTAGCCTGCCACCCTGTTTTTGTAAGTGAAGTTTCATTGAAGCACAGCCATGTATTTTTTGTGTGTGTTTACATGTTGCCTATAACTGCTTTCATACTCCTACAGCAGAGCTTGAGTAGTTGTCGCAGAGACTGTATGGCCCACAAAGCCTAAAATAATTATTCTCTGGCCTTTTTACAAAAAAAGAGTTTACCGACCCCTGAACTAGATGCTTCTCAGGTTCCTATCCTTCTATATCATTGGTGCGCCATGATTAGTTAGGGGTTGTTATTTTATGCAGAAACTCAACTTTTTCAATAAGAGCCTCTCAGGCAGACAAAAGGAGAGGACAGTTCTTATCAGTTGAACAGTTGCTTGAGGTGGATTCACAGAAAAGGGAATCACAGGTAAGAAAGTAGCTATAGATTCTGGCTCGACATCTGCTACTACTTTTTGTGGGGACCGGGGTGACTGTGCTAGAATCCACTTTCTCCTCTCTTGCATGGGAAATACCCCATGCTTGGATAAGGTGGAAAGAAGGGCAAGTTCTTTCGGGTTGCCTGTGCTCTGGTCTGCATAAAGGTGGAATCTAAGCCAGCAAATATCTTAGGAGTTCCTTAGATTGCCCAGAATTCCACTCATCACCTGAGTGAAGAGCTCAGTCCAACAACACTTGCTGAACCTAATCACTCTATCTACAGAATCCAAACACTCGAATAATCATGGGATACTGATTAAATGAACATCTCCTTCTCTCCAGAAGCTTGGAGTCTAAGGGAGGGGTAGGGAAGGCCGGGGAGCCAGCAACTAAACAGAAATCCACCAGTCACCATCATGAATGTGCGTATGCATCGCAGCCTGTAGTGCCTACGTGCATCACCTACCAAGGATCCAAAAGAATGGGAAGGTACACCAATGAGAGTGAATTATCACGCTGCTTGATACTAAGGTGGTGTCAATCTGGACACCTCAGGCAGAGAAGTTCATTTTGTAATAAGCAAAGAAAAACTCCTGGCTAGAAAGAGGAGTGTCATGTAATTTAGACTAAAAATAGCAGGTGGGGATGAGGGCAGTAAGTTTGTTTAAAACTGAGCCTGTGAGCTGGCATGCAGCAGAATAAAAGGGAGCTTGGGGAAAGGACAGAAGCATTGAAAAAATGGGAGCAAAATTAATGGGATGGAGAGAAGAGGGAAACGGAGAATGGCGACAGAAGTAAAGAAAGCACAGGAGGGATAAATGAACTAAAACTACACACCATAACTCAGTTTTGAGTATGGGTTTGAAATTAGGTTAACTCATGTTCTAAGCCTTCACTTCCCTTTTTGTTTCTGTCTGCAGTTTGATTGTCGTTTGTTCTGGCGTAAGTGGGTTTAAGTCATCCCAGATTTCAAAGGCTTTGCCCTGAGGTACTGGATTTTTATTTGATTTGTAAGAGTTCCAGGGGGCTAATCTGTGTTCTTCCCTCCAAGGTGGATCGAATGTCTTTCCCATGTGGCTGCACTAAAGAAGGATGTAGTAACACAGCAGGTAGAATTGAATTTAATCCTATCCGTGTCCGGACTCACTTTTTGCACACAATAATGAAACTTGAACTGGAGAAAAACCGAGAGCAGCAAATCCCCACGCTGAACGGCTGCCACGGGGAGATAAGTGCCCACAGTAGTTCCATGGGCCCTGTGGCTCACTCCGTCGGATATTCCATCGCAGACAATTTTGAGATTGAAACGGAACCCCAGGCTGCAGTGCTGCACCTGCAGTCGGCGGAGGAATTAGATTGCCAAGGAGAGGAAGAGGAGGACGGTAGCAGCTTCTGCAGCGGAGTCACGGACTCCAGCACCCAAAGCTTGGCCCCCAGCGAGTCAGACGAGGAGGAAGACGAGGACGATGAGGAGGAAGAGGAGGAGGACGACGAGAAAGGGGACAGTTTCGTGGAAGCTTTGGGTCCCCATGCCGAAGGGGTCCCTCTTCCTTCCGTCCTTTGTTACTCCGACGGCACGGCCGTCCACGAAAGCCACGCGAAAAGCGCTCCCTTTTATGCCAGCTCTTCTACCCTCTATTACCAAATAGACAGCCACATTCCAGGAACTCCCAACCAGATCCCCGAGAACTACTCGGAAAGAGAGACTGTCAAAAGCGGTGCCCTCTCGCTGGTGCCTTACACCATGACCCCGGAGCAATTCGTGGACTACGCCCGACAAGCGGAAGAGGCGTACGGCGCCTCCCACTACCCAGCTGCCAACCCCTCTGTCATCGTTTGCTGCTCCTCTTCGGAAAACGACAGCGGTGTGCCCTGCAATAGCTTATATCCCGAGCACAGGTCCAATCATCCTCCAGTGGAATTTCACTCATACTTGAAAGGCCCCTCCCAGGAAGGGTTTGGCTCTGCATTGAATGGGGACAGTCACATTTCAGAGCATCCTGCTCAAGATTCTTTGAGCCTCGCAGAAAAGAGCAGATTGCACGAAGAGTGCATCAAATCGCCCGTGGTTGAGACCGTCCCTGTTTAGTAGCTTAAGTTATTCTTGGACCAACTCTCTTCCTATGTAAAGCACTGTAATTGGATTTCCTGGGCTCATCGTGGTTTCAGCTGAGGACCAAGAAAACTTGGACCGTGGTGAATCTTCCAGACTGTATTTTGTTTTCTCCCTTCTAGCTACGTGACTGTGCCGTTGCACAAATGCAGTCTCTATGAGGGTTTTAAACGATTTCAGACTGTTTTGATAGAAAATGCTAATTTTAAAAAAGCATATCTCACAGTTGCCTACCTGTGAAACTGTGTGAAACCTGCCAAGCTGTGTAGATCAGAGCTCCAAGTTTTGGATTATCGGGCCTGTGCAAGATTGTTAACTAAGACTGGGAAATAATAAGATTTAGAGTCCTAATTTTCGATATATCTGAAGATGATGGTGACTTTTTAATGTAAAAGTAATTATTGTAAGAAAAAGATTTAATTGTTCCATGCGTATTTTATTTATGGTAGTTAGAAGTCATGTTTTGATGAAAACGAGCAGCAGCATGTTCTTTTAAGCTGAAGACACATAGTTAGTACCACCGAGCATGCCCACATGGATTGCCTCTGGAATCCATTCACATTTTTATGATCGTGTCTGATCAAATTTGCAAATACTTTCTTAAGGGTGAAATAGGCCTATTTTTGCTATTTTGGACAAATAAATGAATCTATATGTGCAGGTCCTTACACAGTTTTCTCTAAAGTTAACAGTTAGGACAATCCTCTGGTGAGGGTCTAGTTCACTGCCCTCCCTCAGTTGACTCCAGAGATGGAGGTAGAAGGAATTGCCTTTCTTTTTTAAACAGCATCATCTTGGTTCTTAGCTTGGACAGCACCTTCAAACTCTACTCCCCTGCATCAAAATGCACTTTAGTGCCCCTTCATGGTACCTTGTGAGGGGTGGGGACTAAGAACTCTTTGAGATGAAAAATTTAAAAAAAACATTTTTTAATCTGTAACTATTATAAGGTTCATATAATTAAATAGAGAAATCACCCAGTGATACTTTATGAAGGAAAAATGACCTGTTTTCCTTCACCACTCTCAAGACCTAACTCGGTAAAAGCAGAGGAGGCCGAGAAAACACGGAAGAGACAGAACCTCAGCAACCAGCCTTTTTCTACAGCATGATCAATCCATCTCTACACAATGAGCGTATAATGAAATTTCCATTTAGTGACTAGCTGATTGAAGGGGGGGCCTCTACCCAAATACTCAACTAGGCCTTACTTTTCTGAAGCATTTTGATTTCTCTTGCCTGGGACAATTAGCAGAACAGTCCAGAATGCATTGAATACTTTCTAATTACCTCATGTTCTCTTATTAAAGGGGACAGATAGAAATAAAACATGCACTCCCCACCTTTAGATTATCTGCGCTTGGTTCGTCGGAGGACTTCTAAGATCCCGTTTTCCTGTAAATTAATTTAGGTAACTAAATAGTGTGTTCTACTTTTTTTTTTTTCCAATGCAATATGACTATGCTAAATATGTTTCATATTTTTGACCTTCTATTATATCATTTCACATTTTATGCCTCTTTGAAATGTGGACATGCCTTGCTATTCAGTGACTGCATCACTACTTATTTTTTATGTCTTTTAGACTTGGATGTTTGGAAATATGGATATAAACATATTGTAGATCTCAAGTCCTTAAAAAATACTATTTTATTTCGTTGAACTTAAAAAATGTTTGATCTAGAGAAAGTCCTCCAATGGAAAAGTTTCTACTAAGACTTCATTTGGGGAAAACATGTTCACTTGGCAGCTCTTCCACTGTGCAGTTGGTTCCTGCCCCTACTCTACCCCACCACTGGGCCAAACTAGAACCATTAGTATTAACAGTACAGCAGCTTTGGGTTGGTCCTTATGGAGGTAGCAGTAATGAGGGCAGGGATGTTCCTTTTGAATGACAAGCCCTTTGGGCTAATCAGATTGGGGTTTTGCTCAAATCTTGATAGTATATCCCATGTTGTCTACAAAGTTACGGTTTTTAGTGCTTGATCTCCAAATTTTTCCCCCTATTATATAATCTAAAGAGCACAGGCCCAAAGAGAAAATGACAAGAGGCTATTGTTCCTTCATTTGAGCACGTGAAAGAATCATGTGTGCCATATTGGCTGGGCCATTACAAGCCTTTGAAGCAGCTACGTGTGAAGTATTCAGCTTATTCTTGGAACACAGTGTGGCAGAGTGGGGCAGAGGTGACTCTGGCTGGGCAGAGTTGAAGGGTAAAATGCCAGTCCAGATTCTGAAATGATAGATATTTAATTTAGTTCAGCTTTATTTTCACAAGAAGGTTGACACCTACTTGTTTATGATTGGCTGGGTCTCTGTTTTGTAGCTTCATTTCCAAAAAGATGTTTAACCTAGAAAGAGGCAAACAAAAACAAAAACAGAGCTTTTGCCCCTATCTGTCCAAATGGGGTGGAAAGTCACTGCTACACAGAAGGATTAACCTTCCAGCCACAACAGCTTCTATTCCAAATGTTCATATACATAACCTAACCCCTAAACATCTCCCACAAACTACACACACAGATTACCTATTAAATCACCCCGGGATGTCGCACATGCACGCACACACACACACACACACACACACACACACACACACACGTACACACACACACATACATAGTAGGTATATACCACACATTGGAGAATGACAGATTTTAGGCAATGGCCAGTAATGAGTACTGAATTTTTCCCACCCTAGCATCTGGTTGGGCTTTATGATCTAAAAATGTGGTTTAAAAATAAAGAGAATTTTTAAAGCTATAGTTTAAAAATATTGGTTCAAAGTTGCAAGTAATACTAATGAGGGAATCATTTCATTGTCACTTCCTTTCCCAGAAAAGCTGAGAGAGCACTGTGTGCCAATGGACTTTTTTTTTCCATTAATAGACCTTGTATTCAACAAAAAATGCCCACATGCCAGGAAAGCGTACAGTTTTTCTAAGCTTTTTAAAATGGGGATCAAGCTGGATGCAGCCAGTGGATTCTTCAGATCTTTATACCAAGACACAGTAACCTGACCTGCAGCTGTTGTATTGCCCCTGTAGTATAGCTAACCAAATTATAGTCTTTTTTGACACACAGCTTTTTAGTAATTCACTGTCAATGGCAAAGCTTCGTGCTTTGGTCCCTGTTGTTTTAGCACCAGCCCTCTACTTTTTATTAGGGCTTAATTCCCAGTTTATAATCCAGGCCAAATTGATTTGCAAGTCAAGTGGCTGGAGCAGCTTGCATTTCCTTTGTCATTCTAGGTTTCTTCTGGGAGAAAGAAGTCAATGAAAGAGAATTACTTAAGTTTTTCCCATCTCTTGATCATTGATTATAAAGACGTTAGTAAAATCCATTTGTCTCATGTCTTTTGGTTAATTGAAGAATATGGTTACTTTTTGAAAGCCAGTCTTTTCTTTGTGATGAAACTATATTTTTCCCAGAGTGCCAATCACATATAAAATGTGGAATTAATACTTACTAATTAAATTTTATTATTAAAATCTTCACAATCATATATGGCCCAGCAATACCTCCCCCAGTAAAAGCTGAATTACAGAAACACTGGCCGCAAATTAATCAAGAAAACAGAAGATTATAAGTGATTGTGCTCTTTAAATTTTTATACTCCAACAGATGACTTCTAGGCAACATTCTGGTTTGGTTATCATTAAACAGGAAAATATATGATTTACTTTCTATAAACATATATCACTGATTCTTTGTTTAAACTTCTGAGATTGTTGTACAAGTTAAAATCCTTTGGTCTTGATATTTAGAATGTACTAAGTATCATTTCTTTCTTTTAACAAATATTTATTGAACACCTACTATGTTAGAGGAACTGTCACAGGTGGTTAAAAAATAGGGGGAAAACACTACAAACTCTAAGGGATTATGATAATGATGAAAAATGGAATGAAATAATCAAGCCCCATTCTAATCCTTTTAATCTGTGATTTTATAAAGTGATATTAGAAATAATGACATCAATTCTTGTCTAATTACATTCAAACTGCGACTAAAGAGAGAACTTCTTTTGCCTAAATTAATGGAACTCACTGGACCCTCCTCCCCTCTCTCCCCATCTGAAATTTATGAATTAAATCTGGACTCAGCTAGAAGAACTGTAATCCAATGAAAAAGAGATTGTCAGATAATTGCTTCTTCCCTGTTAGACCTATGTAAGTGATGCTAAATTTATACCAACAAACTCCTACCCGACAGTTTCAAAGGCAGGTTGACTCACACATAACCCAGGAAACATTTCAGGAAACCTTTGAAACGACAATGTAGAACACCATCACTCTTCCTTCTATTTATAAACAGCCTATCAAAATAGCTAAGCCTGAGTTCCTGGTTCCAAAGGCATTGCCTTGCAGCTTGTAGAAAACACATTGGTCATTCAGCGCCCTCACTTTTAGCCAGGGATACAAACCATTGAATTAGCAGGTAGAAAATTAACATCCTCAGAAGTTGAGACAGCCTTTTTAAAAGGTGCCATGAGCCTTCCATTTCTCCAAATTCAGACTTAATCTTTCTCTTTAAAATGGCATCTGCTCCTTGTCTCCAAGACAGTTTAGAGTATATTATTGTAGTCAGTGTATGAAATACCAACCTTAAATGGGAAGTACCTTCATGCTTTCTTAGGCAAGACTTAACTGTAATTCAAAACTGAAACAAATCTATGTATTCTTACCACAACCAACACCAAAAGCTTAAAGCCTTGATCACTCTTAGTTCTAACACAAATTTGCAACTACTGATTACATTATTCTTTCTGAGATCTGCTAACTTGAGTGACTTAAATGCCTAAGCCAAATGCCACAGCTTTGCACAGACAGCGCAGCTCATCAGATGTTTTCTGTAGCCTTAAAGAATGTAATTGACAATTTAACTGAATATCAGCAATTTGAAAACTCACTAGAATTATGGACGTGTCGGGGGGTTGAGGATGGAATATAAGCTTAATAAGTGGTGGTGTGTCCTAGGAACCATAAGGTTTCAACAGAGCTGACAAACTAGAATTTTATTATACTGGAAAAACTAGATTCATAAATGGCAGCCCAAAACCTAGAAGGGTCAATTACAATGTGGACACTCCCAGCCCAGTTGATGTTCCCATCTGTGACCTACTATCCCCATCAATTTCACCTTCTGATCTAAAAATCATTTGATGCCTAAAAAAAATAAAAACACAGAGCTACAGCATGCTAAAAAAACTGTTTTAAAGATTTAAACACATTTTATATTAAAAAGACTGATAGACTCTTGTCAAAAGTAATGAATATGGAAATAAAAGAGCTCTTTAATATTTTACCTGCCAAATCTGTATATTCAATGTGACTGTTTAAAACAGTCACTTCTAAGTTTTATTTCAACTCCTCTCATAGAAAGGGGAGCGTGAGGCTCCCCTCCCCCTTTCTAACCAATGCAAGTGTTTTGGTTTTTTTCTTTCTTACCAGAAATTCAAATTCAAAAGTTTGATATGACCTGGGTTTTACCTGGTGAGCAGTCCTGATGTTAGTCTAACTTTGTGCTGTCTGGATAGTAAGTGTAATAATGCCTTGATTTCTGTATCCTGACAGTGGTGATTCAGACAGAATGATGGGAAGCAGGAAGGTCTATACAACCAGATTCAAAGCCTAAACCAGTTCGTCTTTTATATGCAATTTTTGTAATCTAACTTATAGCCTGGGATTTTAGTAAATACAGGTACTTGTTACATTCATGGAAAATGAATCTCGAAGATTTAAGTCAGGTTGTTGACTAATTTCTTTCACTTGTGATAAATATACCACCATACAAGGTAGTTGTTTTCACTTGATACTCGACACTTGCTTATAATTCAAGAAAAGCCAACTCTGGTGTGTCATTTTATTTCATCTCATAAAAGTTTCTGGCAGAAGTGAAGTTTCAAAAGAGTA